GGATCAAAAAACAAGTAGTTTGCCCGAGCTGCGCAGACTGCGAACTTCCATTCTAAAATGTCATTTACATTTGAGAATATTGTATACTTACAATCCAGAACAAGCACGAAAATTCGGCATCGGTTATTTTCTGCAAAGTGCCGAAAAAAGCAAGATGACCTAATTTTTGACGGCATCAGTTACAAGAACGAAATGTTTGACACTCTTTTAAATTGACCTATAAGTTAAAGTGAATCAACGCTATCCGTAAAGCAATACATTAGTCATCAATGTCGTAGAGGTAAGTCCTTTGCGCGCGCATAAATAACGGTCGACTTGGGTCTACAAATCCGAAAAACGACCTTCGTGGCACGACCATTGGTTGATGCATGACTTGCCGGTTACGTTGAAATTGTCGCCAGTATGGATACATGGAGCTGTCTATCAGCCGTTTGTTACGAATCTAAATCAAACATTTGAACTAAGCATTACACTGAATAGGCAGAAAGCATTTTACGCCCTTTGTACAGTACGGTCACCCAGAATATCAAGCTACTCGAACAACCAGTATGGGAATTTTACATTAGTTTTGTACTGGAATGTTTCCAAATTAGGTGCAGCTATTCGGGGGCCCTTGATTCTAGGCTGTATGCTTTCAGGTGGTGCACACCGCCTGTTTGAATAAGCACGGCCCCTTCGGAGCCACCCGAATGACCGCTTGATTTTTTGCGGGCACCACTCATTGATATGCGAAACGAGTTACAAGTCCTTCCTATCGGATTTTGTTTTTTCATTTGGCCACAGTGACGCTCCGCAAGCCGCTTATTCGGCCGAAAAATTCTATCTGCTGATATAGTTACGAAGAAATATTTTAAGCAACCCTTGCGAGGACCAAAGATCACTCGCATGTGACGAGAGCTGAACAAAGAAATGGAGAAATCCGAAAAATCACTAACGTGATCTTCTAGCTGATCGGTACTGTCAGAAGCAGAGCTGTAGCTTACGATCAACCCAAATATTGCTAGCAGTCCAAGAATCGTCATTCTGAGTCGAACCTAAAAAAAAAAACAATAGTATAGCAAGAGGCACTAGTTCAGTTCCCCTTATTCTTTTCTGACAACATCGGTGCCATTAAAGAATAAGGAAACCCGAAGAAATACATTCATCAGTATGCATTTCCATATTTCACAAAGCAAAAAAAGTGTAAACCCAGGCTGGAATGCATCACAGGCGAGCCGGTGCGATCATGCGTTTTTGCGCCAAAGTTGAAAAAATTAGGTTAACTGTTGAACGGTTATTTCTTCACACCTATCTTCTGCGCTCAATACCGTGAATCGCTGTAAATTTTGCACAAAAGGAAACAATCGTTTTTCGTTTAGCAGTCTTTTTTATGCGCTTTTTTTTCTGTGCAGCGCTGCTACAACCAGCAAAAACGCATATTGTTGAGAGGCCGTCTGTGTATGTGTCTGTGCGAGTGTGTGTGTGTTCGGAAAGCAAGTGCATTTTGTCACCCACTTTCATCTCAGCAACCAGGAAAGCT